CCCTAGGGTGCAAGAAACGGTGAGAGACACGTCTACCTGCTTCTGCAGGAACAGAACACCAGAGTAACTCGGTCTTGAAAATAAAATATACTGACATCCCATTCTAATTTCAACACTCCGTCGAGGACCTGTGACGTCCCAATCGTACATCCTACCCAGCTCTTACCGCGAATCTGAGAACAGAAGCACTTGATTAAATTCCTCTGAGCAAAAAGAAACACACACACACACACACACACACACACACACACACACACCAACAGCAGAGAAAGAAAATCTACCAGAATGAACACGTGACTTGAAGTAAGCAGTAAAATGTTATCTAAACCTGATATAGTTGCTTTTTAAACAATTTACTTTTTGCATTTTCCTGTGTGATGTTCTACTACTTTAAAATGTATTTACGTTTGTGTTCTAAAAATAGTCCCATGTCTAATTACTCCTGCTTTGTAATTTTCAGTCCCATTTGAAGTGAAGCCTAAACGCCAGATCTTTTTTGGAAAACTACTTTTAAGGACTGTCGAGAGCCACAAAATTACACTTCTTTACAATGCGAATGTATGTCGCTGGAAAACATTTCATTCTCGACATAAATATGACAGCCAACGCTAGCTTTGCAAAGAAAAGCTTCAGCTGCTCAAATCACGTCAGCCAGATTCAAGGGACAAAGAGTACACAAACGGACAGTTACAACTGCTAATTTCTCCCGGTCTGGCTCAAATATACTTGACAGACCTTAGCAGACTGCACGAATCTCACATGCAAGCCACGCTTTCATAGCTCCCGTACGTGTTCCCTTCCCACACTAAGTCACATCCCTAAAATAGTCCTCTGTTTAAAAAAATTTTAAATAAAGATACTTTTTAAAGAACTGTACGGGACATTCTCCACTCAATGTGAAAGTTTTTTATCTTTGCCATGAAGTCCATTTAATAAATTCCTCATAAACAAATATTTGATGCGATGCCTTTCTTAAAATGGGTTTGTGACAATTTGCCAATATTCCTGAGAACTGTTAAGATATTCATAGCTAGCTGGAGTCCGCTGATAAAGAGGACTCCCCAAAAATCACTCCCCACCTCTGGTGAGAGAATGGAGGAAAGGTGACTTCAGCTTACTCGGGGCAGAGGTCACCCCTCCATCAAGCAGAAGTTTCCCAAACGCAGTGTTTCCTGGGACCAGGGAGGACTGACACCAAGGCGGGATTCTGGAAAACACTGTCACTGTTGTGGCCCCAAAACACAAACCCTTAGCAGGCTGCGGCTGGAGGTGACAGCTCCGGAGGGAGGACAGGTGGAGAGGGGACCACAGTCCCAGGAGTCAGCCCACGCTTCCAGTTAGCGCCAAGCCCCACCCGGGACAGGAGTCCCTAACTGCTGTTCCCCAAAACCCACGGCCACAGGCGCACAGCGGCAGCCCCCATGCACGCCTGCCTCCCAGGTGCTCCAGCCCGCCACTGAAATGCACGACACGCACGGAGATGTCCTCCAAACGCCACCTGGTCAGGCTTCGGAACCCGTGCACATCCCGACACTTGGAAAACGCAAACCCACCCGAGGTGCAGTTTCTAGCCACAGAGGGAGGGTCTGGGAGCCAAACGCTGTAACGTAGTTAGTTCTTCACGTTTACACATTAATAATGCTGGAAGTGAAGGTCAAAGGTGCCATGTGGCGAGCCAGCTGAGGCCACGCCATGTGCTGGGTGCCAGTGTGGCAGAGGAACAGGGAGGGCCACACTGAGGGGCCAGGTAGGCTCCTCCGTGCAGTCCAGGGCCCATGGGTGCTCTCTGGACTATGAGAAGATGAGAGTTCACCACACTCGCCCCACAGCCTCCAGAACTTTCGAGGGGGAGGGATCAGGGCAGCCAGGAGATGCCTTTTGGAAAGAACTAATTGATCGTGTCACAACGGCTCTGTCCAAGTACTAAAATGTATAAACATTTACAGCATGCGAGACGTCTGCTTTAGAAGAAGGAATGTTACGTCTACGTTCAAATATTTATGATGCAGATACCTAATCAAATAAATTTTAACTTTTTCTGCTTCCTTCCATTAGTTCGATGACTTCTACTTAGACCTATGGAGTAGGTGTCTCCAGCTAACATGTCTATCAAATAGCCAGTTATTTGTTTCCTTCACGTGTAACAGAGACACTTTATTCTGCTAGAAAACTAGTTACATTATAAGCAAAGTGTCATTTTAATTACGTAATCAACACATGCACTTTTTACCAGTGTTGAAAATGGAATGAAATTCAAAATAATGTAACACCCCGAACATTTAAAGCGAGCACACTGTAACGGCAGAGCACACGCGTCCGGACAAGC